CTTGTGTCTTCTTCTTGCCTAAGCTCGCGTTTTCTTGCTTCCAGTTTTAATATTACTTCCGAGCATGTCTTTTATGCTACATAACATATATTAAACATAATAAGTACCTTTTATTCTATAATAAGCATAATTATAGCTAAAAGTATTAAGATATGATGTAAAATATATATGTAGATATGCACATATCATCGGCCAGGTTTTAGCCTTTGATATTGACATCAGGGGGTTATTGACTCTTCATGGACGAGCTTAGGTACTATATACTAGTGGGGATCAACGGGTGTTGATGGATGATGTCCACAAGTCAGGATTCTCTATTTATCCGAGGGCTACAAAGATGTATCTTGACCCGAAGCATAGTTATTGGTGTTTGTGTATACAGAGGGATGTGTCCTGGTTCGTGGAGAGATGCTTCACCTGCCGGAAGGTCAAAGCCGAACACCAGTGCCCTCACAAAAAGTTACAGCCTCTGTAGGTTCCATTGTGTAAGTGGGAGCAGATCATAATGGATTTCATTACAAAGTTGTCGAACACTGCAAAGGGTTTTGATGCTATATGGGTGATAGTTGATCGGTTGACGAACAGTGCTCACTTCTTAGCCATAAGTGAGAGCTTTCTACCGAGAAGCTAGCCAATATTTATGTTTTAGAAGTGTTTGCTCGACATGGGGTACCGACTTCCATTGTGTTATGTCGGGATGTTCGTTTTACCTCCATATTTTGGAAGAGGTTTCACTAAGAGTTGGACACCTGATTACATTCAGTACCGCCTATCATCTGCAGAAAGACGGGTAGAGTGAGTGAGCTATTCAGATGCTATAGGATATGTTACGAGCATGCATCATTGATTCTGGTGGGAGATGGGACTCCTACCTTCCACTGGTTGAGTTTTCTTACAACAACAACCATCATGCCAGTATTGGCATGCCTCCCTTTGAGCTTCTATAAGGGAGGATATGTCGGACTCCTATTTGCTGGAGCAAGGTCAGACAGAGAGTCATGAGGAGCACTGAACAGTGATCAAGATGATCGAGCTTATTCAGCAAGTCAGACATAGATTGCTGATGGCCCAAAGTCGCCAGAAGAGTTATGCGGATCAGTGAAGCTCTGAGTTGGAGTTTTAGATTAGATATTTGGTGCTCCTGAAGGTATCACCATGGAAAAGTGTTATCCGATTCAGGATGCAGGGCAAGTTGGGTCCCAAGTTTATTGGCCCTTTCATAGTGACAACCCGAGTGGGCAAGGTGGCATACCGGTTTCAGCTTCCTTAGGAGTTGAGCCAGATTCACCACACCTTCCAGGTTTCTTAGTTGAGGAAATGTGTAGCTATTGAGACAACTGTGGTTCTTTTAGAGGACATTCAGGTTGATGGTTGCCTAAATTACATCGAGAGGCCGATGACGATTTTAGATCAGAAAGTTAAGACATTGAGGAACAAGGTAGTGAACTTGGTCAAAGTTTACTGGCAGCATTGCAAAGGCTCTAAATGGACTTAGGAGCCCAAATATGAGAGGCATGAGCATTATCCGGATCTGTTCGCAGAGGTTGACTTCGAGGATGAAGTTTGATTCTAGTGGAGGAGAATTGTAACACCCGTTGTAAGGTATTTTCATTTCCAGTCCCTTATGTTTTTAAGAGTTTGCAAAAGAGGTCCTTACGCTGGGCGTACAAAGTCATACATCGGATGTAAGTCAACATATTGTGACGGGTCACCATTTCAGCATACATGTGTGTACGCCTGGCGTACTCGTGCATTCCCAAAACACTAATCTTTTGGGTTGTGATCCCTATTTAATCATCATAATCCCTCTTGGGCCTTCTTATGACCAACCTCCATACCCTCCAAACCATATAAAATCGACCCTAGATTTTGTTAGATTTTGTGAGTCAAATTTAAAGCTTGAAAGTGATTCTTGAGTGTTTTTTATAGAGAAGGAAGACCATTCAAGAGGTGGTGGTGCATCCTAGCTTCTAGATCCCAAATCTTCATCTCCTTGTCCACCTTTTTAAGGTGAAAAGATCAACCCTTGGAGCTTATTTTGATAGATCTTGTTTAGTGTTGGATTTGAGTTCATTTTGTCCCAAAACATTATTCTTTGTGAGTATGGAATACTCCACAGCTTATAAGATGTCCTTTCAGACGTTTTAAGATGCTTAGAGTTATAAAAAATGTTAGCTTGGCCCTTTCCTTTCTCGCATGCAAGATTTATGGAGTCTTTAGTGAAGTGAAATGTTAGGGTTTTGGGGTTTAGCTCTTTGTAGCCATGCCAAGGCTTAAATTAAGAGACTTTATGGTTTATGATGTCTCCTTATAGTCAGATCTAAAGTTTGAATAAGTATCTTAATGATGGAGACCTTAAATAAAGTAATGTTGGAATCTGTCACATACACCGAGCGCATTTTTGGCTACGCTCAATGTATCCAGTTGCGAACCCGACTCCTCCTGCCCAATGCCCTACACCCATAGTAGAGAAGTGTACATCGCGCGTACGACCGCCGTTAACTTTCATTGACTTTTGACCAAGTGTACCTTTTTGACAAGTTGTGAGGGTTTTGGATCTTAGTTTGGGCAAAATGGTCTTTTGCCCAAATTGTAGATTAGATTTGGCTTGGGATTAGTGAAGTATGAAAAATTACCTTAATTTTTAATTAGGATTAACTGGTGTAATTATTAGGCGAAGTCTAGTTCCGACAATTTGGGTGTGAGTTCTATTAGTAATTTGTGCAAGGTGAGTCTCCTCACTTATTCTTACCTGTGTGGTGGTATAGATTTATATACATGATGACCAGTTGGTTCTATGTGCTATTACTGTAATATGTGTTACCTTATGTGTTTTGAGACTTCGAGTAGTCTCTAGGGTTGCTGATAACTCATCGGGTGTGCTGTTTGACCACTAAGACTTCGGGTAGTCTGCAGGGTTGCTGATAACTCATAGTTGTTATATGTGTTGTGTTGTATGTGGTATTTTGGGGAACTCACTAAGCATCGTTCTTACATTTGTTGATTAAATGTGTTTCATGTACTTCTGAGGATCACGAGAAAGCGAACAATTGATTGTACACATTCGCCTGCAATATATCATGCCATATATTTTTAGGACACTTTGATATTTTGATGATGATTGTATTTGACACTGTGCTTTTCTTGGAATTATGTCTATCAACAATGGTTTTATCTGAATTTAAAAATGAAAAATTTGGTTTGAAATTTGAGAGGTTACAATTTCATTGTGGTATTAGCTAACTATAATGCATTTGAATTTATATTCAATTAAAAAACAACGAAACAATAGAATTTCACACATCAGACCGACAAAAATGAAAAACAATATTCATAAAAGAAGAGTTATGAAGTAAACAAATTAATTCATTTGTTTTTCATATATGACCATAACAACTTCTATTTTTGGGTTAATCTTTGTAAAAAATCTTTTTGTATTTGTTTTTTCTAGATTATACCTTAATTTGTTTTTACAAACTTCTATTTTTTTCATTTGACCATTTTAATTTAGTGTTAATTACATAAAAGACCATATATATTGTTTTTTTTTTTCAGATTAAACATCAAGTTAATTAGTTTTTTTAATCCCTTACATTTTTTTATTTTTTTCCAAAAAATTATGTAATACCGGAAAATTAATAGGAAAAAATAAAAAATAAATGTATATGGATTTTTTTGTGGACTTTCTTAAAGAAAAGTTGAAGTAAAAAAATCCCAATTGGATTTACCAAAACCATTATTAATTGTTTCTATAATACTTTTTTTTAATCATATTCATAGATTTCTTTATATATATCTACATATCAGGCTTAGATAGAGTTTCTTTGCTTGCTCCAATTTCTTAAATTTCCGTTTACAGGGTTTATGCTTCATACGCCTTGGGGATTTTATCTAGCTCAATTTTGGAAACGACGATCCTTCGGAACTCAATCGGCTGATGCCGGCATCTTCCTCATCTCTCTCCATCTTGTCGCTGGCCAGACCCTTTCCCTTTCTTTCAAATTCTTATTGGATAATTCTCTCTCACGTTTTTTTTTTTTTTTTTTTTTTTTTTTTTTTTTTCTTAATTTTATGTTTTATATATATATATATATATATATATATATATATATATATATATATATATATATATATTTATTTGTGAATTCACTATGTATGTGGAGATTTGGGTATGAGCTTGAAACAAGAACTGAAATTTGCATATGTGCTGGTTTGACAGTGTAAATTGTGGCTGCATTAATTTTCATTGTTTGGAGTATTCAAATGCTTATTGTGGAAATGTGGATTAGGTTTGTTTTGATTGTAGGCTTGATTCTGATCTAAGTTTCGTCGATTTTTGCGGTTAAGTTAATTTTGAGTATAATTGATAGTAAACAGTAATGAATTTCACAAAATTAATTGTAATTTAGTTTATATAACATTATAGTATAGTGCTTATAAGGTAATTGAGTTTCTGCTTCTTCCCAGAAGAAACCTTAACAAACAGGCTTGATATAAAATTGTTGAATTAGATGAGAACTAAGTAAAGTAAGCAAAAAGGAACAAATTTTTCCTTCCGGTATAACAGTATTGCCACTGTGCTTGATCTTAATAGCTTGGTAAATCAAGTTATCTATGTAGCTAACTTGATCATTACATGCCTATTTTCAAGCCAAGTTTCTTCACTGATAGTTTATTATCTTGCCTTCCTACTTCCCTTTCCTTTTAGGGCACCTAACTTTGATTATGTCTTTATAGTTACCTTAGATTCCAGCATTTCCACCCACTGCTATTGTGAATCAAGAATCATATCTAGTAGGTATGTTAGGATCTACAAATTTATTGGAACCACAAGCATATGTGGTAAATTTGAACAAGGCACATCACTAAAGGTAATTACTCTATCCGGTAAGATTTCGCAAAACTTAATTTGTCTTTTTATGAGTGCCTAGTAATAAATTTAGTATAAAAAGAAGCCTACATAGTATATTCTCACACGCAACCTACTCTCTCTTTTGCAAATGCGAGCATCCGGTTCTAGGGTTTCAATGGAACAGTTGCCGGAGGAAAGGGTTTCAATTGAACGGTTGCCCGAGGAAATGCTTGCAGAAATACTGATAAGGTCAGAGGTGAGGGATCTGATCCGTTACAAGAGCGTTTTAAATTCATGGAAATCTTTGATCTCTCGAGCTGATTTCATCAAAGCCCATCTTGAACACCGTTATCGCCGTGATCCTCAAAATGACAAAATTGTAAAAAGGAGAATTGTTATGTCTGTTATGCTCTACGGTAACAAGCGATGTAATGCTGATAATATCTATTTTGACAGTCGCAAACGTCATATACTCGGTTCTTCAAATGGTTTGGTATGCATTACTCCCTCTCATACTGAATTTTTACTTATCAATCCTGAAACTAGAGAGGTGAATAAACTGAAAAAGCCCCAAATACCTGACGCCGGACCTTTGACTTATGGTTTTGGCTATGATTCATCCAAAGATGACTACAAGGTGGTCTTAGGTTTTGGGAAAGGTAGCAGTCATACCTGTTTTCTAATTTTTAGTTCAAAATCCAACCTCTGGGAAGTTATAGGAGAAGTGGACTACACTTGTATCAGTAGGGTGGGTGTCCTTCACAGTGGAGCACTTCATTGGGTTGCATATCATGGTTCACCTGACGATAAGCAACAGGTAATTCTTTCTTTAGATTTGTCCAAGGACAAATTTAAGGAGATTCCACAACCTGATGATATGAGATATAAGAATGATGTTGCTTCCGAAGAAGCAATGCGTTTGGGGACCATGGATGGTTGTCTGTGCGTATTTGATGGTATGTCTTCTGTCAACACATGGGTGATGAATGAGTATAATGTGAGACAATCTTGGGAGCTTGTGTGGCGTAACCACAAGACTAAGACTGAAGTTGTGCATCACTTGAAAGATATAAAGTACTACATACCAAAGAAGAGGTTTCTGTGTCATAAAGAGAGTGTTGTCCAAACTCCAGAGTTTATATGGGCCCCTAGGTATATACCAAGCCTTGTATCTCCTCGTGTATGCGGTAACCTTGTATCTCCTCATGTATGCAGTAAACCGGACAAAAAGAGGCAGGAAACAAGCATCACCAACAGTCGCAAGGTGGGTTGTACTTAAATTTTTATTTTTTTATTTTTTTATTTTTTGGTTTTCATATATGGTGTCATATTGTGTTAGTTATGCTGGAATTGTGCCTCTGATTTTATCTGTGTACTATATGTCTAGGTACCAAAACTTTGTCTTGTCCCAGGTAGTTCAAGTGAGTTGGGTAATCTTGAAAGGTAAAACACTTGAATCTAACTATGTTATAAACATAGATTATTCAATGAAAGCTTGAGGTCATACGACTTGGAGTCTATAATTCACAAAATTCATTTACATCTTAATTTGCTGTTTGTAAGCTTTTATGCATTTATCAGTGATAAACCTCTCAAAAGCCCACCATTAAGGGCCTGGTAAGGTCCATATATTAATCACAACATGAACTTTTGATGCACGGACATTAAAAGAACAGGTGGATAAGGGCTTAGAGGCTTTTCTTGGTGGTGCGAATTTTCTTTTACTTTTCTTTGAGGCTCATTTGCATGACATGGAAACTCAAAAGCCATGTTTAATGCTATTTAATACTGGTACATGGGAGCTTAATTATTTGAGAAGTTAAATATCTATCTTGCCTTTATGTTTTCCATGTTGGAATGCTATTTAATTGTGGTTCATTGGATTTTAGTGTTTAGGGAAGTCAAAGAGTATAGTCACACAACTATGATGATCATGGTCTTAAGCTTCATGTCTAGCATTCTTAGGAGGAACCGATCCTTATAAGTGCTTAGATCGGTTACAAAGAACTGAAGATATTGTTGAGTACAAGGAAAATGATGACTAATGAAGACATGGAAGTAAATCCAAAATTGTTGCTAAAATCAAGGTTGTGTTGTGAGTCTGAAAACCAATGAAAGGGTGAAAGTAAAACAAAATTTTCTTCTTGGATATGTTTAAGAAGTACCTTAATATGAGATATTTTACTAGTGTTATTTGAAAGATAACTTCGCTAAATTAAATAAGTTGAAACAAGTATCTAGTAAGAGTGCAACTTGGAATTTGAAAAACTATCTTAGGTGATGTGAAAAACTTCATGAAGGCAGCATGGCTTGATTTATTTGTGGTCTTGATGTGGAAGTAGTGACTATATCGAGTTACTACCATGTTTTGCTTTTGAGGAAGTGTAAAGTTGTCTTAGGTATTCAAATGAAAAACGTACAACTAAAAAAGATGTTCTTTATATAGAGCTAACATATTATCATCATTGGTATGGTATCTATACTATTCACCCATTTAATGTGGGGCACCCTTGACCCTCGGCGAAAAGAAATTAGTGTCCACAACTCAACAAGGTCAACAAGCTGCTGTGAAATGTGAGAAGAAATTAAACACTAAGAAAACAACCCACAAACCGTTAGCTTTAAGCGGATATGCTACATCGAATGATGGTTCTAAGGTGAAGATATGATAGTTTCTATAAATATAAGCAATGTAAAGTGTTTCTGGTAGAAGGGATATGACCATGACTAACCAACCTGATTAAATAGCTCAGCCTTGACATTACATGAACATTGAGGATAAAGCTTCTTTGGTGCTAGTAGTTTCACAAATGGAGTGTGGCTCGGTTAACACTGAAGATATCGTCGGTAAGGTGTTTAGTGTGTGAATAGCCTTACACACAAAATCAATACTCCTAGAGGAAGTTGTGAATATCATCTTCCACACTTGTGAAAGAGTTGCAGCTCCCCTAGCCCCCCCCCCCCCCCCCCAACACACACACACATGTTCATCGACAACCCTACCAATTACATCAGCCTAATGGTGGCAGCAAGCCCTAATTTTATTTTTCATTTGGTAATTATCTAGATCGTGACCTATGGGTTGTGGTGCCTACGATCTAGGGATGTGTATCATATCGTGTTAAGATGTCATTGGCAATTCGATCAATGTGTGGTTCATCATGAAGAAATAATGAACATGTTTAGAAGGATGACTAGAGCAATGTGTCAGCTAATGTACTTCTGATGAGATATGCTATGGTCACTGCTTTTGGTGCCAAATTGTTTGGTTTTTGAGATATTAAGTGACTACTGAGTACTACAAGATGCAGGTTGATTTTGGTTCAATTTTTCAGGAATGTAAAAATGGAGTTTCATGTGAATCATTGCCACACGATTATTTGCTTTTTAAGGGGAACATGTTTGTTCCTAAGTGCTCAGTTTAGGAATTACTTGTAGAGAAGCACATGGTGGATCCTTGGATTTCCTTTTGAATTTCCCACTTTTGTTATCTTCGGATTCACCACATAAAATAGTACCAAACGATCTTTATTCCAATCTTGGTGTCTGTCTTTATAGTTTTGTTGGTGATCCTCACATTTCTTTTTTCTACTTTGTTCCCTTCACATTAAATTCTATTCCTTACATAATGGTTTAGAACTCAATAAATGATTGAGATTTTAAGTCTAACACAATTGTCTGTCACTTTTGGGGGGATAAAAGATTACAATTTTTTGTCCCTTTGCCAAATGCACTACAATCTCTTCCTCATAACATTTCGGTCATCGAGTTGAGTCAATATACAATTGCGCTCCCCTAGATTGCTTTTCTGGTGACAATGTATTAGGAATATGTTTACTTCTCATTTGCTCTCTCTCTCTCTAGATTGTAAATATCATTTTCTTCTCACACCATTCTTGCTTTGTCTGCCAGCTAAGCAATTTGAATATGATGGGTCATGGGGATGAAGCTCCAGAGGAGGTGATCTTGAAGAAAAGCTGCTGAGCACATCAATTACGTGTTGAATCTTTAGGTTTCTGTTTAAAACTATGTTTTAAACCCTGTTTTATGTTATTAGAGATCTATGGAATTATCTTTAACAATCATGTGTTTGATGGTTTGAAAATCTTTAACAATCATGTGTTTAACGGTTTGAAAAATGCGTTAAAGATTGTTCTTTATATGGAGTTCCGTATCTTAGAGATTGCTACTTTCATGGAGTTTTCTCTTGTGTTGTACTGCATGCGTTCACTTTAACCATGTTTTGACCTTTCTGTCATTTTTGTTGTCTTTATTCTTTATGAATAAAAAGCCTTCTCCTCTGCAACGTGCCTTATCGTTAATAGCTTTCAAATAACTTGGAATATGCATATAGAGGTGCGCTAAAAAGATTTACGTTTGTTGTCTTTTTTGTTTTTTGGGTGACTGTTTCAAACTGGTTTGGATCAAAATCAGTTTTGGGACAAAATACTCGAACGGGTGTAACATGTTCCTAACAAGATTTAGAAGACAATTATCCGCTTTTTTAAAGTTTAATATGAAAAAAACAATATGCAACAAGAACTAAACACCAACCAAACATATAATTTCATTTTACTTGATTATAAATACAAAAAGAAAATTAAGGATAACAAATACAAAAAATGAAAGAAAGTTAAACTTCATATAAAAATACAATTTGCAACAATAATTTAATTGTAATCAAATATATAAAATTCTAAAAGATCTATACAAAATGGAAAACTCTGATTAAAAAATGATTAAAGAACCAAATAAAAGATCTACAAATTTAAAAGCAAGTTTGTTGAGAACTTCACCAAATCCTGCGAATCCTATTTGCAAGGAACTTTTTGATGATATTCCAACTGAAATACAAAGCTTACTCCAACTCAAGACAAACGTAATGTGTAAGACACGGATCTTGGGTTGTTCAGGAGCCAACTTATTGCACTCGCATTTTATGTAATTGAATCCTTCTCAAAAGTGTGGGAAAGTCTTGTATGTCTTGATGTAAGGGACTAAGGTCTAGAGAGAAATCCTTCCTATTTCAAAAAGTAACAAAGGTTAGTATGTTGATTTGGGAATTAAAATAGAGTACAAAAAAAGGGATATGTACCATTCCTTTTGGACCTACACATAGCAACAGCATTGCTTAAAATCTGTCAACTATAAATGCTTTGGGTGACAAATTCAAAGTTGCCCAATAAGTCACTTTACCGTCACTTTACCAGGTCCGTCTAGTTTCCGCAGGGCCGGTCTAAAGCTTTACCAAGCCCTGGGCTAAATGAGTAAAGGATACCCTAGTTTGTACTTGTACTATATACTATATAATATACTCAACACATATATAAGACAAAAGGCGTGTGATATAGTACGCAAGAGAATCATAGTTCGTTGCCATTTCTTGTGTTAAGTCATTCACAATGTAATTATAAAAAGAATCCATGGTTGTGGGATTGTGCAAACCAATTATTTATGTATCTTCATATTAAAAAAATCATAAATTATTAAGACAAACAAGCAAAATGTGGAAGAGCGATGAACATTTGTGGTTCTTAATTGAATCTTAGGTTTTTGGGTTGTGACCCTCAATGTAGGGGGAAGTTGTAACACCCATTTCCCGAAGCAGGATGGCCAAGACCGAAGGAATTATAAAAAAGGTTTTTGGAGCAAACCCTCAACCACGACGTGGGGTGTGGATGCCCACGACGTGGTGTGAAATGTTATGCAACGCGCGTTTTAGAGGGTCGCCATGACGTGGCAATGGATGACCACGGAGTGGGAACAATAGCAGTCCAAGCCCTTGTATTTTAGTGTTTCTCCCATATTTAAGCCCCATAACTCCCATTCTATGTCATTTCCTTCAGACTCCATATCCTCATTCCGAAACCCTACCCTTCTCGCCTTAATGTTGAGCTTAGTGGCTCTATCTTGAGGTTGCTTGCTTCATTTGGTGAAACTTGAAGAAGAAAGTAGTTCATTTTGGTTGAAGGAAGCAATGAGCAAGCTTGGATCCAAGATCTTTCTCACATTTCCGAGTTACTGGAGGTATAAAGTTCATACATTAACCTTTGTTCTTCTTGTTTCTAGTTTAAGCCCATGTTTGGATGTTTTGGTCCCATTCATGAGTGCGTTTGGAGTTTGAGGAACTGCAGAGCTTGATATGGTGCTCATTTGGTCATGAACTTATGAGCTAGTGAGAAAAAAGGTCTTAGCATGAGTGTTCTTTGCCCCATGTTTGAGTTTTAGTCATATTAAGGACTTAATGGACTTAGGGTTTAAGATCTTGTCTTATGATGAGGTCCTAATGGATAAAGTTGGAAACTTTATCCATTAATTCAATGTGGAGAAGTAGATTTGGAAGTATCGGCTTAGGTCTGAAAGGATTAAGATCTTAATGAGAAAATTGTGATTTTCCGGTGGCCACGACATGGTGAAAGTAGCCACAGCATGTCAAAGTCAAAAATCTCGACTACCTTGTTCTAGCATTTCCACGGTGTGTCCACAGACGACCACGGTGTGGCAATGTCTTGCATGTTTATTATTTGACCTTGTGACCCCCCGTGACATGACCAAGGAGGGTCACGACGTGGCATGGACATTGACCAAGTTTGACCATTGACTTTTGTGATCAGTTTGAATTTGGTTCAAAATTGAGGGTTTTGCACTGTTGATTAAGATTCTACCTAGTTTGGTGATTAGTGGATTCGCAGGAGCTAGGAGTGCAGAAAGGGAAGTGCGTCTCAGTGTTTCGGGGTTCTTCATTCTGGTGAGTTTTTCCTCACTATACCCGTAGATCGAAGGTACCAATGCCAACACATCAGTTTTGGTTATCATTAGTAGAGGGATGTCATAGGGACTGTATATGGTCATGTAGGATAGACTGAAGACTCTTGATCTAGGCTTTCATGCATGTTGCTTGTTTGGTTGTGGCTCTAGACTAGTATCATCTATACGGGTGTCTATCTCACCTCTTGGTACATATGGTTATGCATTCCTTGGATTGTTGGTTATGTATCCTTGTGTATAGGACTTTGTTGTGCTGTAGTGATATGCTAGATTTATATGCATATATCATTTTTCTGATAGGATGCAACAATAGTGGTGTGCCGGTCAGAATACCAATAGGTTGCTTATCGCGTAGTGTAGTGCCCTAGGGGTTGTAGGTAGTCATGTAGAATAGGCTGATAACTTTTGATCTAGGCTTTCTTGAATGTTCCTTGTTTGGTTGTGTCTCTAGATTAGGGTCATCTGTTTTGGTGGCTATCTCTACTTATGGTTATGAATTTGATAGAGGTTAGCTGGTAGAGGAGCAATGTGCTGTGAGAGGACTAGTAGGCGGTAGTGAGCTGTATGATTGATAATTGCATGTAGAGATACACTAAGGTTTAATCTAATCGGTATCTAGATCCGATCTGGTTTTGCCGACGTCAGAATCAATCCGGTTGGATCTGAATCCAAACTGGTTTTGACCAGATTTGAAGATGCCTGATCCGAATCGGTTTAATCCGATCTGGTTGGAACCCGATTTGGAGTTTGATTTTTTTATTAAAAAAACATTTTTAAACACTCAAATATAACACAAAATGCAACATAGGTTCATTAGAATACTTAAAACATATATCAAACATCGAAATATAAAGAGTTTTGATACTGATATCAAACTAGTTAACTAATAATAATAATAATAATAATAATAAAGTGGTGTTATAACATTTTTGCCAAATAGTCTTCAATTTTTGTGGTCTTCTACTTCATGTTGCCTTCACTAAATTTTTCTTCAACCACCACGCAAAATGGATAGGGAACTCATCAATACCATCTTCTTCATCTTCGTCTTCGTCTTCATCATCATTGTCTTCGTTTAGTTCCGGAGGCGTTAATAAGCCTTGTTCATATTCTTGTTCCACTATCTTCGGTTTGACATTATCCGCTAGTATGCCTTCTAGTGATGCCAAGTGTTGTGTACGTTCCACCGAATCCAAGTAATTCTTCAAGAAAATGTAAACCTCCATCGCAAATCGGGGTAAGATTCATTCTCAACTTTGATAAAACCTTGCCACTAAAAGAAAAAGCGGATTCCGAAGCAACCATGGAAGCTTGGACAGTTAGTAAATCGAGGGCCATGACAGAGAGAATACGAAATTGTGCTTCCTTTTCTTTCCACCAAGCCAAAAGATCCAAAATTTTAAATTATGTGCACTCTTGAATTTTAAAAAGTTTGAGCCCATATAAATTCCATGTTTGCTACTAGCGGTTAATGTGAGTGCTCGTTTGTTTTGTTCCTCCAAAAGGTAGTTATAGAGGTCGGTATGAAAATCCATTCGACCTCCACTACCACCTGATGCACCACTAGTAGCGTCGGATACACCGATAAAAGAGTGTGGCATTTCACCATATTTTCCCGCGTAAATGTCAAACCAATTAGTAAAAATGTTATTGAAATCATTTATTTGGTTACGAATGTAGTTAGAATCATATTTTTGCAAATTTTAAAAGATGGAAATTTTGGTAAGTAAAGCCTCTACGCCCGTAACATTGATACAAGGGTTCAAAGCCGCAGAGTAAGTAAAAAGTGGTGATATCTCTTTAAAATATTTGACAAATTTTGTTTTCATGGGTTTCGTAACGAAAACAAATATTTCACTTCTTTGTTTAAAATGTTCCAATTGTGCGGACATCAACCATAACTCATTTAGTAACAAATGAATTGTAGGATAATTCACGCCTGATAGAAAAGTTGTTGATTTTTTAAAAACTTTTAACATGTCCACAAACTCTTCCATCAAATCTCAATCAAAATCTAAAATTGGGTTTTTCCCTTTTGAAATGGTATCGTAAAATAATTGCAGAGATTCTTTGACATGTCAAAATTTCAAACATCATGCATGTCGAACTCCATCTAGTGTCAACATCCCAATGAGGACTATATGCAGTTATGTTGATGGAAAGTGAAAAACGTCGATATTTTTCCATTGTCGTTATGTTTTTTTCCAAAAACTCTTATTAACACACTTTTTAATTTTTCAATCATAGAATCTATCATTCTTAAACCATCATGTACCGCAAGATTAATTATGTGACAAACACATCGAGTATAAATTATAAGC